GTTTCTCCGGCAACCAACCAAACGTTAGTAGAATGCCCGTCGGGGCAAATGGCACAAACAACCTGCCCCTTAAAGAAAAAAAAAAAAAAAAAAAAAAAAAAAAAAAAAAGAGACAGCACAGTTTATGGTTACACCTGTGTGTAACTGTTGGAGCATCCATAGAAAATGCTACTGAGGAAAGAATTAAACTTTCGACGAAAAAAAAAGAAAAGTTCATTTTTTATCACTTAAGTGTATTTTGCGGTGACATGTGCCTAATTTTGTCGCTCTCTTTTTCTTCTATTTTGCTCCGCTTCCGTCCTCGCCCTTCGCAGGTTTCCGTCATCGGCGGTGGCAGTTGGGGAACGGTCGTTTCAAAAATAGTCGCCGAGAATACACACAAGTCAAAAATATTCCACCCACTGGTAAAAAAAAAAAAAAAAATTAGCTAGCCAGCTAGCGGTGTATAAATAAACAGATCAGTATTCACTTACATGTTTGTACGGATGAAAGTGTGCCCGTGTCTCATTCGAACGACAACCCATGTGAGAGAACACCCCCTCCGCTTTCTACCACTTCACTCAGGTTAGGATGTACTTAAAGGAAGAAATTGTAGACAACGAGAAATTAAGCAACATTATAAACACGAAAAAGGAAAACGTAAAGTACATGAAGGGGATGAAGGTGCCGGACAATGTAGTGGCCACTTCGGATTTGAAGGACGCGGTTGAGGATGCCGATTTGCTCATCTTCGTAGTGCCTCATCAGTACCTGGAGGTAACTCACAAAAAAGGAGCAACGTGGCATCCATAATGGGAAATGTGCACTCCTATGGGCGTCTACATTTGGGAGAGTCCACCTTCATGCAGTGCGAACGTAATGCACGTCGCTCCCCCTCCCCTCGTCCCTTGCAGAACGTGCTAAACGAAATAATGAAAAACGAGAACCTGAAAAAAGACGCAAAGGCGATAAGTCTAATGAAGGGAATCAAGATAGACAACTGTAAGCCCACGCTTCTGTCCAGTGTCATTGAGGAAAAGCTAAAAATTGGGTGCGCAGCTCTGTCCGGCTCCAACATAGCGAATGTATGTGCAAATATCTCGGCATATCGCTTTATGTCTTTGCAAAAGCGTCCCATACTGGCCTTCCCTCCTCCCTCTCGTGCATCTTACGCTAAAAGGGGGAATTCCAACTGTTCCTCTAACGTTGGTGATGTGTAGGGACTTCCACCTCATGATAAGTGGAGAAGGTCCCAATTGAGCAATACACGCGGGGGTATATATACCCTACCGGCAGATGTCTTGAACAGCTGGCCACGAACCGGACAAGCGTTCTTTTACGTACAGTCCAAAAAGCGTCCTCCCTTTTGATCACTGCAGGAGCTGTCCAAGGAACATTTCAGCGAAAGCACCATCGGCTTTGAAGATGCCCAGGATGCGGGGATCTGGCAGGAGCTCTTCGATAGGACGTACTTCAAGATAAACTGCGTCCAGGACAAGCCTGGAGTGGAGGTGAGCAGTGCCAGTAGTATGCTAACAACGTACCTGTGGGGGGCGGGATGTCAGCTTATATATTATCGAACACCCCTGAACGATAGCTCATCTCTCCCAGGGTACTCTTCACACCTTTACATCTTCCCCCTCCCCAATGCGCAGACATGCGGAGCATTGAAAAACGTAGTCGCTGTAGGAGTGGGATTTCTGGATGCATCGAGGAACAGCTATAACACAAAGTCAGCCATTATCAGAATTGGCCTTGACGAAATGAAGAGGTTTGCCCGGTTGTTTTTCCCGGACGTTCTAGATGTAAGTGCACAGAAGGGGGGGGTGAACAAATGGATACATGGCCTAGATTGACTACCCAAAATTAAAATATAGTATCCCCTCCAACAGGACAGAAAAGGAAGCATTGTGCAGCACAAACTCAATGACGAATGAACTATTTTTTTTTTTCCTTTCCCCTTTTTTAAGGAAACCTTTTTAGACAGTTGTGGTCTGGCTGATCTCATAACGACATGTCTTGGGGGAAGAAACCTCAAATGTGCACGGGAGTTCGCAACAAGGAATGGAACGGATTCCTGGGAGCAGATCGAAATGGAGCTTCTCAACGGACAGAAGCTTCAGGTATAACTGCGCATCTTGCGCACCTGCTAAACGTTATAGGAAGAGTCTGCACTAGCGAAATGGGCCATGCGATAAAAACGCTCATGAATGGTCGATCGTTACACATAAAATATAATCACCTCCACCTCTCCCTGCTTCTGTGCCTCACCAACTGTACTTTTCCTCCCACTCCTCCGCAGGGCATCCACACTGCCAAGGAAGTGTACGGTGTGCTGGAGCA